TGTCTGTGCTGCAGCACCTCTTTTCACCCTCTGTCTGAAACCAGAGCCCAGTCTGCTGTGATTGGTTAGCTGGCCGGCTCTGTTGTGATTGGTCAACCGCTTGGAGATGTCCCGCCCCTTAGCTTATCACGTATACTTTGTTAGAGAGCTAGCGAAAAGAAGTGCAAGTGTAACATAGTGATGTCATTATGTTCAGGAAGTAAACAAAGCAGTCCAATGGAGGCAGTTCAGTGTGGGAGAAAAACTCCCTATATAAAAAAAACCTATATACACTGTAACACGCTACAGTTAAGGGAAAACCCCAAAAAACATTCTATGGCCCATTCAATGCTGGAGATAAAATCAGGAATGATAAGATGCCCTTCTCTGAGATACTGCAAATACATATTGTTTTTCAGTATCAAATGACCTGTCTGCATTATAAAATGACAGAAAATGTTAAAAAAGTTCATCCCTATTTCTGAAAAGCCAAAGTGTGTCTTTGAATGTCTTGTTTTGTCGGTCTAGAAATCAAAGAGCTTAGTTTTGCAGGAGATTTATCATAAAGCAACGTATTTTATAAATTGAAATATTTGACTGAATGATGGCGGTCAGTTCTTTGTGAGGTTAGCGTCAATGTCTGAACCAGAAATCCACCCCAAAAGACGAAGAGACATTTAATTAAAAACCCAAATTTCAACCTCATGGTGGAGCTTCGGAAGTCTCTCAGCTCCCGACATATATTAGGTTAAATCAAGCTCAAAATATAATTTATGACTGCATGAAAAAGTGCAAAGATATGACAATAAAGTGACCACTGCTTCTGTGTTGGGTTCACATCTTTACTGAGTCACAGGTCCAACATATTTCACGAGCAAATGACAGAGGAGGGAACACAGACGGGAGGGAACACAGACGGGGGGAAATACAAACTATAAATCACAAAAAAGGAAACTGTAAAAGTCATTGAAAAATGATTGTAGTTAAAAATCTGTGTTGTACCGAAAGAGAGTGGACGTGAGCTGTAACAGCACCCTCCTTCTGTGGTAATACTCACTTTTATTTGTGCGAAATGAGCACTTCTTCTTCCCTCTGGCTCCCCCTTGCGTTTGAGTCCAGGTGGTGCAGCTGATACATTCACTGAGGCAGGGAAACACACTTAGCAGCAACACATAGCGATGATAAAAGGGACAAAAAGAGAGAAGAGACATCTCTTTTTTACTCATTGATTCATAGGCTCTCAGCAGGATCCACCATCATCTTCCATTTGTTACTTAATTTGGATTATTCTCCGGTATCGTCACAGCTTCCTGTCACGGATCTGCAGATCTCTGGAGGTCAGTAGATCCGTGACACATTGGAATAAACGCCACGTGATCCACAAATTAAGTTAGAGAGGCCCTTTGCCTCCAGAGGGTCCGTCAAGAGTCACTTCTCAGAGTCCTCAAGGTCTGTTTCAGCTGACCTTGACCCCCTAGCAGAGGTCAGATACGTAGTCGAAGTCCTTGAAGTGGTCCTGCTCTTTGAGGGACAGCGTGCGGCGCTCTCGGGGGGGCGTGAGGGCCGGAGCCTCCGCGGTGAACTCCACATCGAAGTTGCTGACGTCTTCTTTCCCTCCGATGGTCGGGAGGAACGGAGGCGGGAGTTTCCTCTGAAGGAGAGCCTCCCAGTCCACACTCTGAGGACAGGAAGACATGTTAGTGAGCTGATGCTTTTATACAGACTGACTGACATTCACTTCAATCCTGCAGACATGAGAGCAGTTTAGGGGTTTAGTATCTTTACCCAAGAGACACTTCGACATGTTGACATCCCTAGTATGTAGTGTCTCTACTTTAAAGAGTCCTCTCCTGCTGATGTTCAGGTGTATATCAGTATGTAGTGTCTCTACTTTAAAGAGTCCTCTCCTGCTGAAGACAAACTCACCCTGAAGAAAGGTTGTTTTTTCACATCTTCTGCGTCTTTCTCTCCGGAGCCCAGACGTCTTTCAGGGTTCCTTCTCAACAACTAAACAACAGAGAAAGAACAACAAGTGACAATCCATCCGTTATGAGTCGGATATTTTCAGAATTAAAAGCACAGTCAAAACTGTCTAATGAAATAGAGTGTTTGTTCTGACCCGTCTCATGACGCCGATGGCCTCGGTGGAGAGGAAACGAGGGTAGCGTACTTCATCGTTCACTATGCTGTCGAACACCTCCTCCTCATCGTCCCCTGGGAACGGAGACTGAAGGAAACACACACATTAGTCTGCAGCCTATACTGTAGACTCTGTGCTTTCGTAGGGATGAATACCGAAGATCTATCAAAGTAATGGATTAGCTTCAAAAACGAGCTGGTTGGTGGATTTTTTTTGCCTTTGCAAGAGTGTTTCCATCCTTTATGCAAGGCAAGTTTATTTATATCTTATATGACACAAGGCAATTCAAAGTGATTTACAAAAATGAAAGACATTGGCTGCATCTCATGAATTGAAACAAAACACTGAATAAACTGAGGAGTGATTCCCGTGAGTTTCATGTGTTTTCTTCACTCCGCTGGGAAACTGCTCTCATGTCAAGAAGCAACAGATCATAAATACCTGGCTGCTAAATCCTAAGAACTGTTTTTGAAAATAATTTTTTTTTACTTTTATTTGTTTATTATATTTTTTATTATATCATAACTTAGTACTTTTTAAAAAACATATATTACATTAAGCTGTCTGTGGCTCTTTCCTGCTGTAACGATGCAAATTTCCCCTCTGTGGGACTAATAAAGGTATTCTGATTCTGATCAGTGCATGCGCTGCATCGTCCAATCAGTGAGCGATACACAGTAAGGGGGCGGGGCGAGTGTCTGAGGATTTCACCGGAGGATGGTCTGGTAGTTCCGCGATTATCGGTCCTCCGTTATCGCTCCTCGGTCCTCCGGCACAAATAAGGCCACTGGGACGGTACTCAAGATGGCGCAGTCAAATCAACTTCCGGTGATACGGAGACCGAGGAGCGAGGAAATGAAAAATAACCGAAGTGAGACG